AATCGATCTGAAGATTCAAACTGATGGTAAACTAGACGTAAGTCGCAGAGATATCCATCCGTCATGAGAAAATTATATACTGTAGAACACAATGAAGAACATGTTCAACCGAATAGAAGTGACCTATCCCAAAATCTTTATCGGTATCCGTGGACATCATAAAAGAATCAAAAATACTTGCAGAAACCCATCACACCGAACAAACATGAACCACAACATATTCCAATCCATTTCCGGCTCATAAACATTCGTTGAGAAAGCAGCGAAAAACAACAAGCACCCTATGTTCTGCATTCATTACTGTCTCTTGATATAGTCCTTGTTCTCGATGGTCACGCTCTTCGTCTTATGGTTGACCTTGTAGACACCGACCAGGCGCGATGCAAGTTCGAACTACTATCCGTTAGCGATATCCAAGAGCAGCCCACCAGGTTGAGGAGCTTACCATGTTGTTTCTCAAGGAGATAACAATGAATTGCGCGTTCTTTGTCCTCTCTTTGATGTATGAAGCCACGATGGAGACCTGGAACACTTGGGTTAGTTGCTTGTGCTGTCGAGAGACAATGGGGGTGCACCTACGTTTCTGAAATCCAAGGCGGCATCGATTTCGTCCATGACATACAGCGGCGTAGGCTTGTAATGGTGCAAGGCGAAAACCAGGGCCAAACTAGACAGTGTCTTCTCACCACCGGACAAGTTGCCAATGTTCTTCCAGCTCTTCTTCGGAGGCATGACGGAGAACAAGATACCCTCAGAGAAAGGATCTAAAGAATCCACTAGTTCTAGCTCTGCATTACCACCCATCGTAATCATCTGGTACATCTCCTTCAGGCGGAGTGAGATGATGCTAAAGCCTTCCATGAATCCATTCAATCGAGCAGATCGAAGGCCGTCAAGACGGGCTTTAGCACTGTCACGAGATGCGAGGGCAGTATTGAGATCCGCTGAGCGCGCTTCGTGTTCAGCTGATCGGCGACGGTACTCTTCGATCACAGAGAGGTCAACAGGTGAGTTCTGCGTCTTCTCTTCCAAAGCTGCAATTGTAGCTTTCAAAGACTCCTTGTTCATCTCCAATAACTCATCCTTGGTATAAGTCTGCAGCTCTGCAGGTGCTTCCTCATTTCCAAGGTCGCTCACATTCTGCAATGACAACTTGGAGAGCTTCTCGTGCCAGTAGCGCCCGCGCTTTTCATTCTCTGCCAAAGCCTTTTGATTCTCCTCAAGCTTATTGCGCATTTCGATTTCTGTGGCCCGAGATTCGTTTAATTCGGCCACCTTCTCATCCAACTCTGCCTTCACGGTCTTGAGGTCGCCCTTCTTCGATTCGAGGGCCTCTTGTGCTTCCTCTACCTTTTGCTTCCAGCCAGATGCATCGTTAGCCTGGTTGGAGACATCCTCATTCAGCTTGTCAAGGTCCTCGGTAACATGCTCGAGCTCCTCTTCAGCATCTCCACGTGTTTTTTGATGTTTGGCTATAAGCTTCTCGTTCTTAGACTTCCCGACTTCCGCATTTGAGATCTCTTCGGCAAGCATGCCGATCTGCTCTTTCAGACCGTCGACTCTAGCCTTCTGACCACGCAATCTTACACCACCAACCTCCATGATCTTGTTCTGTAGAGTTTGAATCTCTTCTTCAATGCCTCCCTTCTGTGAACGGAGATCTTCAATTTCCTCTTCGAGAGAAGCGATCTGCTTCTCTAGAGCTGCAGCCTGGGCTGCATCTGTCTTGGATGGCTTGTGAGCAGCACTCAACTCCTTCACGCGCCGCTGGGCATCTGCGAGACTACGGTTGGCACTTTCAATCTCGATCAAGATCTTCTGAATCTTCGTCTCGACACGGGGGATTTCCTCGGACTTCTCTCTCATCGCCGCCTCGATATGCCTTTGCTTCTCCTGGAAAGCCTGGAACTTCCTTTCCATTTCCTCGAGGTCACCTTCGAGCCTTGCAACCTGCTCTTTGCTGGTGTCCGCGACCTGCTTCGATGACATTGCACCACGGGCAACACGGGTACCACCACCACTCATGGTACCGGACGTATCGATGAGCTGCCCATCAAGGGTCACTACTCTCCATCGTCTGGCACCGTAGGCAATGCGATTGGCTTGCTCTAGGTCCTTGGCGACAAGAGTATTCTGCATCACGCTGTAGAAGGCAGGAGCAAATTTCGGATCCTTGGGCTTCACGAGATCAAATAAACGTGGGACACTCTCCGGGGTGAATACCGCTGACATATCCCGTCGTGGAAGACGATCTAGAAGTATAAAGTTGGCTCGGCCAAGGTTGTTCTTCCGCAGATAGTCGATGCATTGTTGACCAACCTCGACTGTGTCTACCACCATATTTTCCAACGCCGGACAAGCCGTGGATATAGCCACGTCATATTTCTCATCGATTGTCCCGAGGTTTCCAAGTCGTCCATGGAACCCTTCGATACGGCCAGATTCCTTGAGACGCATGAGGCCGGACAGTACGCTGCCACGGTTTTGCGTGCTTGCAAGGCTAGCTCTTGCTTCGTCGGCTTTTTGCCGGGCGCTGGAGACATGAGCGCGAACATCTGGCTCCCTGTGGGCATACTTTTTGAGGTCGTGCTTGAGCTTCGCGACCTCTTCCTCAAGAACGGCCTTTTGTTCTTTCCGTTCCTCAAGATCGGTTTCCTTGGCGGCTAGCGTTTCCTCGATAGATGAAACCTTGCTCTGTGCTTCCTCCAGGAGTACAGCACCGGCATTGCTTCTCTCTCGGAGAATGTCAAGCTCACTTTGTGCCACTGCAACAGCGGAGACTTTTTTGTTGATCTTTTCATCCCATGGTTCAAGTGACTTCTGTTTGGCCGTGATCTTATCCGAAAGACCCTGGGTTTTGCCCTTTAAGCTTTCACGGATTGCCGACAATTCATCCTCTTCCCCTCTCAGCTCTTTCTCTAGATCCGTCGTTTCTTTGGTCTTCTTGGTGATATCACTAGTATGTTTCTCAACCAAGCTTTCACATTCAGAAGCAGCCAAACGAGCAGTTTGCATCGTCTTCTCCAGCTTCTTTTGTTTACCAACCAAGAACTTCTTCTTTTCCTCAAATTTGACGGACTCCTTGTCGTACTTTGCCATTTCTTTTGCCAAAGCTTGTACTTCCTTCTCCATGTTTTCGTATTCACGCATGCCGCGCTTGTAAGCTTTCTCAAGCTCCTTGATCCCGGATTCGTTGCCTTCGTGCTTCTCAAGTTCCATGTTCAACAGTTCCTGCATTTGGAGGATGGCCTCTTCCGTGACGCGGATGTTATCGGCACATTCCTCAATGTAAATCTGATACAGCGCCGACTGCTTCTGGGTGAGCTCATTTTCGTCATTGAGGTAGGAAAGAGCTTTATCTTTCTTGTCCTCTAGAGAATTCCTTTCCTTCTCCACGTGCTGCACACGGTTGTTCTTCTCAACACAGACGTCGTTGAGCGTTTCTAGTTCGGCGGCCGCTTCGTCAATGGGGGCCTTGTATTTCGAAGTTCCGATAATGTCTTCAAGATATTCGAGAAGCCCGTCCTCATGTTCATTGCCGGCCTTTGCCTTCATCTGGGCAATGGACTCGACTTCACCCTGGAGAATCAGGAATCGCTTATGGTCGAGGTCGATTCCTCGGTCACGGAGCAAGGTCGTCACGGCAGTAAAGTTTGTTTCCTTGCCATTCATGTAATATTTGCTAGTGTTGTTTTTAAACGCCTTTCGAGAGATAAGCAGTTGGGAATCTGGGACTATTTCGTGTGTTCCGTCTGGCAGATCGAGGACCTCTTGGAAATGAACCTCAACTTCGCAGAAGGGCAGATCTGGAAAATCAGCAGAGTTATGAATCAGGGCGGAGATTTTGCCTTGTCGCATTTTGCTGGCTCGGAAGCCAAACACGAATAGCAACGCATCAATCACATTGGATTTTCCGGAACCATTTGGACCAACAACCGAGGAAAAAGAAGCGTGGAAGGGTCCTACGATCTGTTTCCCTGCGTAACTTTTAAAGTTGTTAAGGATTAAAGTCTTGATGACCATGCGACTCTTCGGTCCTGATGGTTCCTCAGGCATCGTCGGAGGAGCCAAGTTGCGCGCCTTCATCATGATATCCATCGGCTTTTCGAGGATGGTCGAATTGGGATTAATGATCGAAACTTGCGACTTTGTGTCCTCGGGCGAAGGTGACTTGTTCACTGCGGATTCGGTGATATCGTTGAGCGGTGGCACGCTGCCTCTCTGAGATCGGGCTTGGGACTGGGGTGGCACAGACGGTTCGACTGAGGACCGTTCCGGTTTGGGTGTCGTGGACTCACGACTCTTGCGGGATGACATACTCCTTCGTTTCGTCGCCGCCACATTCTGTGAAGGCGATTCAGGCTCTTGTACAGATGCAACACTACTCCCTTCGTCGTTCGATTCACCAACTTGCGAAGCCTCCTCCTGCTCCGGGGTTGTCGACCTGCGGGGCCTTTTTGCTGGGCGTGCGGTGCTAGGCGTAGGTGCAGGCGCATCAGCTGTCGTACGCCTACTAGTCCGTCTCCTTGTGCTTGGTTTCTTTGGAACTGGTGTGTAATCGTCTTCATTCTCCTCTTCATCATCATGCTGAGACGGTGTGGGGGTCACATTTCCGGGATCTTCCTCTTCAGATGTCTCCGACATGACATAGCTTCTTCGAACAGAGCGCCGGGATGGCCTGCCTTTTGCGATTGACGACATTATGCTGTTGTGGTACGGTCCGCAAAGGAGGGCCTCATGAAGGCGAGTGTGAATGGGGACAATGTCGCGATGTTACCGGCTGGTTGAAAAAGCGCAGGTGGGTGGAAGTGGGTTGTTTACATTGTCGCCCAAAGAGGAAAAGCCTTGTTTTTCTGCCACAACACTTCTGGCCGCCACCGCCCGTATTATGTCATCCGTATGTATTGTAACCATGGTACGGGTCAAACACGATAAGAGTAATCTTTGGCATTCATATCAAAAAGGCCTCTCAGCTATCCAAGAGTGTGGCGCGGCCCAAAATGGCGCCTTGGGAAGATTTCGACAGTGTTTTCTCCTTCAACAAGAACTTTGTATATGATGGCAAGGTCATTGAACAGATTCTGTCCAACCGCCGGGCTTTGGAGAACCAGCTGTTCGCCGACAGACTCCTAGGACTGCTCGGCGTGAAAGCAGGTAATATCGATCAAACATTGATGATGATGTACAAGGTTCCTGACCAGCATAACTATATAGTCACGAAAGTATACCCTCCAAAGTCCAACGCAGACCTCCGAACCCTTTTCGGGCACATCGTATCATCCCCACTGGATATCCATCACAAGCAGGCCTTGATCTACTACCTCTTGAAGGACTGCCGGGCAGCCAATGACTATGCCTCACAATTTTCGCGGCGATTCCATCTACCTGAAAAGTACCGTCTCTTCATTGAAGGGCTTTGGAACCTGGACAGGTTAGAATTCAGGGTACGTTGAGGAGACCGGGCATGCGATCCATGATAGCTTGCTTGCTAACGCCGTCGGTCAATCTAGCGCGCTATCGAATATTTGACCGAACCCTCCATCATTCCAACATTTCCCGATGAAATCCTTTACGTTCTCACCCTCCCACAGCTTCCCAAGCACGATAACAGCCTCGTAATGGCATATTATCTCACCGTAAGCCCACCACTGGCATCCACAAAGGTCCAGAAAGCATTCTTCAGAACCCTTTGTCGCTCCAGTATTACGGAGGCCTTTTACTTTACCCGAAACTATGACGACTCGCTTCGCCAGAATTACCTTGCGCAGCTTATTGAATTCGTGCACTCGACCGAAGCGGGCGAGACCCGGAGCAAGCGCGCTATGGAATTGATTGGTCTTCCCTTCGATGACCAGGAAGAGGGGTGGTTCGAGGACAGTCTTCTCCGTGGAAATGCAAAGGGGTTGCATGGCGCTAAGGACACCGTCATGATGCGCCGTCTTGCGACAGGGAAGTTAGAAAACTTGTCTGCCGATCTCGAGTCCTTGGGCGGCAAGAAGGTCGATGGACTGAACTGGGACATTCTCAGACAAGGTATTCAACCATCGCAGACATAGTAAGTCTACTGCAATGGCCAAGTTTCGTGAAATGAGCTCGCAGCACTATTGGAAATGCGACACGATTTCAATACTTATGGATCCGGTTTGGAGATTGGAGAATTTGGAGTTTGCATTTGGAGCCTTCGTAAATTCGCTTTGTAATATTAGTACTTAACACAGCACCGTATCAGGAAGTCAAAGATTGATATAAAATCAAAATAGTCTTCATAAGAACCCCTAAATGGCGAATGTTTTTTTTGGCAGTGTCATAGAATGGATCATGTAATTTACCAATACCGACGCCGTACTTTGGCCAGGTTATGCGCAGGCCAGGAAGCACTCCGACTGGGTGAAATGTATTGTCACCGGCATAAACTTCAGACTGATGAACAACAACTTCATTCGCTGGCAGCTCATCAACAAGGATCTTCCACTCTCATTGTGCACTCCGGGGATTGATCGCGAATATATGCTAGATAATGAACTTGACCTGCTGATATCCCGTCAAGCGTCATTCTCGATCGGAAGAACCCCGTTGCAAAAGTCCAGCAGGGAACTTTGATCTCCAGTCAAGTCCGATATCAGAAAGGAAAGCAAAATGGTGGTCTGCAGCTTCTTCCAGCAAGGCCGCTGTAGATTTGGAGGTAGAGTTACCCCCTTCGAATCTCAGTCTTTTCTTTCCGACTTCCAAACTGTTGGTGGACGATTTACTGACCATTGAATTAGAACGCTGCAAATTTGAGCACCCCGGCCAATCAAGTTTAGGCTCAGGGAACCGTTTTGGAGTCCTGTCTGGAGGAGGTGGTGGCGGTGGAGGAGGCTTTGGAGGTATGCCTTCCTTTTGATTTATTCTCTTTTGCACCCTTGTTGTCTCTCTTCTGAAACCTCTGAATGCTTCGTGTTCCCATCTTAGTGCATAGACTTTTGTCACAAGTTCCTCTAGGGATATTGTGAGCTACAGGGTCTTCGCTTGAGGAATGTTAATCACTCTACCCACTGTCCGGAGTACTTATTGGAACTAGCCTTAACGAGCACTTTTTTAATTCGCGTTTTGCGACGGTCTATCGTGTATACTCTGTATCTAACTCTTGTACAGGTCGTTCTGCGCAACAGAACCAGCAGCCAGCAAAGTAAGTGATGCACTTCTGGCAAGAGGAAATCCCCCCACTGACGCAAGCAAAGCTATGGTGTCACAGCAGATGATATCAAGATCGACCTAACCGCTGGTAAAGGCCGTCCAGAATGGGTCTTTTCTTGTTATGGTCCTGGTAAAAACGCCCCAAAGCAATTGTTTGGGGGTGTCCAGCGGGAGCAATCTTTCGAAGAGCTGCGGCTGCGTCACTATGAAGCTGCTGCTGCAGGGAATGCGGAGCAGGCAGTCCAAGAGGCTCAGGCTTTGTACGCAGAGGCACTGAAGCAGATGGATGTCATATTGAGCGACCTTGGCGGTGCCGTGAAATACATCGTCGATGGTATCAACGAGCATCCAAATAGAATTGATATTACAGAAGGCAAGACAGGTCCTGCGTCCAGTCAAGGGCCATCTCCATTTGGCCAACCCTCGGCATTTGGTCAGCCAGCTGCTAGTAGTCAGACATCAGGTTTTGGTCAACCATCGGCAATGGGCCAGAGCTCTGGCTTTGGACAACCAAGTACACTGGGTTCAGGATCAGCTTTTGGCAAGCCCTCTGGGTTCGGTCAACCATCGGCCTTAGGCCAACCATCGGGATTTGGTCAACCATCTGCGTTGGGGCAGAGCTCTGGTTTTGGACAACCAAGTGCATTGGCTTCGGGATCAGCCTTTGGGAAGCCTTCGGGGCTAGGTGGGGGTCAGCCTGCCTTTGGTAAACCAGCGTTTGGGCAGCCCAGTTTAGGCCAGCCGAACCAGGGCCAGCCTGCGTTCGGTCAATCATCAGCGTTTGGGCAACCTTCGTCGCTAGGAGGTTCATCATTCGGCGCATCTACTAACGCGTCTCCTTTTGGTGCGATATCAAACCAAAATCAGAACGCAGGTGTCGGTTTTGGCCAAGCTGCATCAGCCACGTCTCCGTTCGCACAGGCTGCTAGCCAACAACCTGCAGCAGCTTCTGGATTTGGACAGCCATCAACAACCCCAGCAACATCGGGCGGCTTCAGTCAGCCCGCACAAACTCCATCTCCATTTGGCCAGCCCCAACCCCAGCCCCAACCCCAGCCATCATCCAATCCATTTGGACAACCATCCACCGCACCAAATCCTTTCGGGGCTCCCAGTCAACCACAGCAACAACAAGCACAGGCTGCTCCATCGCCCTTTGGCCAACCAGCGGCCGGCTTCGCACAGCCCGCCCAACAACAACCACCAGCTCCTACCGCTACAGCATGCACTGGCCCTCCTGGCATTATCAAGGTTGAGGATCCGAATCAGCTCAGTCCCATTCCACCCTTGTCTGGCCAGACGATCCGAGACCCTATGACCAAGAGACTGTCCACATGGAAAGGACAGCCCGTCAAGTATATTGACAACAACCCGTGTTATCTGCATCCTCAAGACCGCCAAACATACGTTCGCATCTTCTTCCCGGATGGGCCTCCCGACCAGGCGAGCTTGAGAGATGCAACAGGAAAACCGGAAGAGTATACCCCTGAGGTCACGGAACAGTATGAGTTCTTTGTTAAAAACGGATACTTCAAGGACGGCGTCATCCCAAGCGTGCCACCGAAGACAGAATGGGTGAGCTTCGACTTTTAGGCCTGGAAAACATTGAGGATGCCATGGTTTTTTTCTTTTTCGATATGCGCTTCACGAACCCTGTAGTATATAGTTCTTCTCTTTTAATATGATGATCACATGAAGGGCCAATCGCCTTCAGTCAGCCAGCCAACCAGTGAGCTGGATTACCAAGCAACATTGAACTACAACTCCTACCTCAAATCGTACACATTCTACGGTTCTACATGTTCCTAACGTTCCCTACGTTCTACGGCCAGCTTACAGCAACAGCACCAAAGAATACTTTTCCACAAACTTTTCCATTTTTATGCCAGATTCTAGCGGGTATCGACGAAAGCCCAGCATGCACCAAACTCGCCCACCCCAGTCAAGAGCGGATATCACTCCCTCCCTGAACTGAACTAGAACATTTTAGGGTAAATTTAAGCGGCAATGGTGACCTCAACCTCAACACCAGCCTCGATGTTGATGATGATCTGCTTAACAGTCTCAGTGGGGGCGAGGAGGCTAAAGCACATCGTTAGTAGCCGCTTCTTCAGTCACAGGGGTATATAAAGTGCAACATACTCGATGAGACGCTTGTGGATGCGCATCTCGTACTTGTCCCAGGTCTTAGAACCCTCACCGTTGGGGGTCTTACGGGTGGAGATGTGAAGGGTCTTGGTGGGAAGACGGACGGGACCCTTGACGTGGAGGGACTTGGAGCGGGCACGGTCGATCAGCTCAGAGCAAACCTTCTCGAGGGAGGCGACCTTGCGAGAGGTAAGGGTGATACGGATCTTGTGGACCTTCTGTTGAGGGCTGTTAGTATGGCTGGCGCATTGTCTCGGAGCGTCTCTTCCACCCATCGTCCGTCATCTTCATCGTGAAGATGAACTTGGGATTCGAGAGCTGTTGGGTCAACGTACAGGGCCCTCGCCGAAATCCTTCTCGGGCTTCTGGAAAGACATCTTGACGGTTGGTTTGCGGTGGGGAGACCGGGATTGAGATGGCTAGAAAGTCGACGGGTTAGTTGCAAGAAGGGGAAGAAGGAAAAAGAGATAAATGTGAGAGTGGGGGGACCTACCGCAAAGTAAGGCTAGTTGCCAATCAAGACCTGAACTTCAAGGTTCGGTAAGGTGATGATGGCTGTTGGAATAGCTCTGGCGATATGCGATTATTATTATCGTGAATTCTTTCGCTTTTTTTTCCATAGTGCGCTTAGCGCCGCTTGTGCGGGTGCGGTGGCTTGGCGCTCGCCTATCTGGTGCTAACCGGATCGGGCCCCCGCGGTGGCTGAGTCAGCAGACCACCAATGACATGCCATCTGATAAATGCGATAAAGAATATGGGGCTGATTGTCTGGTCTGGTCAAGCTTAATGATGATGATATATTCTTGGCTTCTGTTTTCTTAATTTCATTTTGAACTTTGATTCCCAAGCATACTTCTTCTTACTGCATCGTTATCCTTGTAGAATCGCTGTGTCATGGCAAATTGGCCTCCTCTGGCACCAGTTCCACCCCCCGCGGTGCAGAGTGCCATACCCCCCCAGGAATGGGAGCTCTATATAGATGCGTGGATTTTGCTTCTGAGCTTGCGCATAGAGTCATCCGATGCGAAATTCGCAGAACATGCACCCACAGATGACTCCGCAGTCACCTTCTTGACTTCATTCTATGACCAGCTGGCAAGTGCTGGTACGCCCGGTTTGCATACGGGGTCGAAAGTAAGAACACTACGGAAGCTATGTTTCTTGCTCACAAGACGACTCTTGTTGGACGCGCCCACCTCCCCACCGGATCTACTAGAATGGAAGTACCTGGGTAACATGTGCAGTTGCTATCCCTCCAGCTCTGCGCTGAAGAAACTACTGTCCGAAGCATGGGACAAGCATGAAGAGACTATATCATCGAGCCTCGAGAAGGCAAAGACAACCATGACGAAACAGCTGTCTATGTCAAGCTCCGCACAAGTTCCCAAGACCATCCCTGACATTCGCCTATTAACCATCCTGGGCTCTGTCCTCCCCGCATGCGGCCAGGCACTGATGGCCGGCTCCGACTTCCTGGACACATGCTGCGAAGCATACCAAGCACACAAGAGGGACGAGCTCCGCAAAGTACTAGTCGCCATTGTCTACGTCGGCCTTACATCTCTACTAAAAGGCCCCAAACCAAACCTCTCCCTACTTCTGGACCAGCTCTTCAGCCTAAAGGCCAGCGCAGGGATCAATGCGCCCACAGCAAAGAAGGAACCCACTCTCCTCTCCGACCTAATCTGCAGCTCCGATCTCCTCGTCCGCCTGGACCGGTACCTAATCTCGCACCCACAGAAACGCGGCCAGGATCTCCTCTCCAGTCTGCGCGCATACCAAACCGAATCGAATGTATTCCACCACCGCTACCAGAAACAAAAGAAAAGATCCGATAAAGGCAAAGGCCGCGCCACCACAGATCTCCCCCCAGCAGAAGACATGCACATTCACCGAATGTCGCTCATCACGCAGATCCAGGACCTCTTCCCCGACCTGGGATCGGGGTACATCGTCCGCCTACTCGATGTCTACGACGATAACCCGGAGACCGTCATCGCACATCTCCTGGATGACTCTATCCCCCCTGAACTCCGGGACCTTGATAAATCAGAACAACTTCCCACTACCGATTCCCCTGCCCCCAAGCACGACCCCTTCCCTCCGCGCCCAACAC